TATTAGTCATGATGTGTCAAGCATCTCTAAGAAACACTTTTGTATGGGTTGATGATCAATCATGTTTGCTAAGTAGCTCTTCTCTGACCAGTCTGAATTTTGTTCTCTTCTGTAAAACAACAAATCATTGATAATCATTTAGTCAAAAAATTTGGCAAAGAAAATTCAGCAAAGAATTTATCTGATCAGCCATTTCTCAATAGGAAGAAAACTGAAAATATTTGCTTGTTGAAAAATATTCTGAGGTTGGCTGTTTGAAAGTTTATGATTTATATATTAGCAATTACCAATTGATGAGGACAAACTGTCAGCAATCAATGTTGGAAATTAGTCTTTATTTTCTTGTACTCTTTATTATAAAGTCCATATAAAAAGACATTTTGTTCACTTCAAAAGAAATGAAGATTATATTGCTAAACTTTTATAGCATGACATAATTCCTCCAAGTTAACTAGCATATATGTCCTGCCATTGCCTCAGATAAATAATGGATCACTCCATTTTGATTGCAAGGAAAGACAGAAGAAAAATATATATCAAAGATGCTGTTTGGTTCTAGTAAGAAAAGAAAGCATACATAATAAAGAAAGAAAGATGATTTCATAATGCTCTCATGTTTTTAACATCTGCTTTAATGAAATGGAAAACCATGTCAATTTTGAATGTTTTAATTTTTACCCTCTTACTTTAAATAATAGCCTAGATTCATACTTATCATTAAAATATTTTGTAAAGTTGTTAAGCTCAAATATTTAATGATGCAATAGGTAAATTTCCACTGGTATTTTATAGTCATGAAACTCACAAGACACTTATTCAGCCATTATGAATTATGACTCATCAGAAAATTTAAATAGAAAAACTGAAATTTTATTGTATACTGTTCATACAGGGTGCAGCACAAATACCTTCCATATAATGGTAAGACATTAGCTAGATGTAGACATTATTGCCACTAATGTCTTATCATTATGAGGGAGATATTTCAGATTTATGATTATGATTTTTTTTTTTTAAGTTTTATGATCTTTTAATAACAGTTATAAATTTTATAATTTTTTCTTTTATAATAAACAATTTTACCCAAAAATATTTATTAAAAGACCATCTATTAAAGATGATATATACACACACAGACATTTATATATTTATCACTTATAATTTAAAAAAAAAGTAAAACTCTAACTCTATGAAAATGATATAAAAAATAACATACAACTTATAAGTCATACAGGATTATACTTATAGGACTTTACTATCCACAGAAATGCCAACTGAAGATTTGCTTATACAAGACTGGCCCAATCAACAAAACTTTATTCTTCAAAATTTTTATTAAACTAAAACTACATATATATTTTAAAGGGATAAAATATAAGCCAAAGAGAATGACAAGTTTAAATATCCTGTAAGCTATCAAAGTTTGAGTCATCAGATGTCTACTTTATTAACTGAGCTTACTGTAACCCCCCCCACACACACACACTCTCACCCAAGTCTTCTGATAGTAAGCTTACAGGAAACATATTCCAATTGATAGCAACATGTTGTGTTTGAAAGCATTAACATTTTAATTACATTTTCAAAATAAGGTGTCAATTTCCCAATGGAACTTTTTAGACATACTTCTTTTATGTATCAACCCAAAGATGGAGGAACTGTCATGTGATCTTGCTCTAGACACACCACTGTTTCTATGGCTGAAGTACATATAGTGTCCTTATGACTAATGGGTTACATGATGATTATATATAGTTTGCTATTACCCATGGATTTCACCACCCACATTTCATACTCATCTGCTATAGATAATGGATACTGAGATGCTGCTGAATTTGTTTGCTTTATAATATTTTTATTAGCAATTATGAAATTATGATATGTAAGTTTTTTATATATCAAGTGGGGAAAGAAGTATGACAAAGTGGAAAAAAATTTTCTTGTGATGCATTTCATCCTTTGGGATTTCATCAGACTAAGTTTATATTTATGTTGATGCAACTACACATGGACAAGAATATGAGTTTAGGGTATATAATCTAGCTGACTTTATTTAGATTCTTTTTCTTTATGTTTCCATCACTTTTGTTATTAGATGTCCCATGTTATGATAATAGAAGATGAAACCTGGATGCAAATTTACTGTGGATGATCTAGTGATTAAAGCACTTTCTAAACATTTTTGTCTTAGTAAATTGTTTTCTCTTTTAATTAGAGTAACATTTACATAAAAAAAAAACATTATTTTTAAATTTAAAATTCCCGATATCTCTCACTTGTGTGAACGTGTAGTTACATCAAAGTAAACATAATTGTTGTTGTATCAAAGTAAACATAATTGTTGTTGTATCAAAGTAAACATAAGCTTAGTCAGATGAAGAATTAGTAATTATCAAATAATTGTTCATAAAAATGGATATCAGAAATCCATGTTGCAAAATTTCTAACACAAAGACTTATCTGAAATTTTTTAATTTGAAAAAGAATTTGAAAAAAATTTTAATCACTTCCAATAGCAGAACAGTAAAATTATGGGCATGTGGCTGAGTGGTTAGAATGTTTGCATTCTTACCATGAGACCCGGGTTTGAAACTCACCATGGTTGATTTGTCAAGAAGTGGACTTCCTGATTTTATTGAACTGGAGGGGTCGATCCCAGTGTGTGGCACCTTTTTGAAACTGCCTGAAAACCATACCATGTGAATTAAATTGGGTAGACAGAACCCTTGGGTGTTGTCGATAGCTGTGCTAGCACAAAGTCACAAGTCATCATGACCAAGGGATTGAGCATGCTGGCCTTGTTCAAATTGTTGATCATGCTAGATAACACATTCTTTCCCAGAAATTATAACTAAGGTCTGCTCAGCATAGTTGCAGTATAAACCACAGGTGGGCTGTGTATGTGTTGAACAAACACAAAATGTGCCTGAGCAAGCGTCTGCAATAAGGATTGGCTAGCTGCCCTAGTAAACGGGTATCCTTGAACACGAATGGCCAGCTATACAGTAAAATTATTATGATTTGAAAATCATAATAATGCATTTTCTAATTTGAAGAGACAATTAACTTTATAAATATGTCTATTACTTATAATCATTTACTTATAAAATGAATACGCAAAAGTGATATATTTTTTCTAACTTCATTTATCTCTTTAACCAATTATTGAAAACATGAACAAATTGAATCCGGAAAAGTTGTTTGTTGCAACACGTCTCAAACTTTATTTTTTTAATTCAGTTTGTTGCACAATAATTATACTTTTATAGCTACAAACTCAGCATGATATGAAAATGAATTCAAAATTAGAGTAACAGTTCTGTAATTGATTAATCTTTTATGTTTATTTATAAAGTCTTTTTAGTTCCTACCTTATGCCAGATCTTATTATACAGTCAATATTTTCATGATAAAATTTGTATTAACCAACTGATATTGGTAAAATGTTCAGGATCAATACTTATATGATAAATATACTACATGAAGCTTGGTTTATATCTTTTTTTTTTATAAATATTTGATAGTATGAAATTTTACACAATTTGAAGATTGTTCATATTGTAAATAAATATATGTATTAGTGTAGTTATTGATATTTAGTTATTAATTTCAGATATGTAGGCTGTGAGAAACAAATAATATCAAAAGAGAAACAAGATATTGTAAATTTATCAAGTGATGGGAACAAAGGAAATCAACAATCAAAAAAGAAATTAAAGGCATTGGCCACAAAAATAACAAGAAAAACATAGCTGTAAGAATGTCATGAAAAATTTTTTTTAGAAAGATTTGAGAAATATCAAGAGGTTAATAGGGAAAGTGGTCAGCAAAAATATTTGATGAAGCTGATATTGCAAATGTGAACAGAGATAAGATGCAAAATATTAAAATTATTAGCTAAAGACATAAAAGCAACCACAGTACCATGTTTAAGTAAACGTCACAAAGAGAATGTTTAAATTGAGCAAACAAATACATGAAGATAAATTTCTAAACAGTAATTTTTACTGGTGAATGTAGAGCTACATTGGATGGACCTGATGGTAAAAAGCTAGAAGATTGGTCCTTCATGAAAATAGTCAACATAACAAAGACAATATTGGGGAGGTGGAGTAATATTTTAGAATAGTATTTCAGGTAGTAAAATTATATGTCCTTTTAAAAGTTGATAATGGTGTCAATTCTGAGTTCTTGTACAAAGCATGTTTCAAGTACAGATCATATACCTTAAGCCCAAGAATATATTCTTGCAAGATAATACTCCTCCATGTTCTGCAAAGCTTATTATTGTGCAAAACAGTCTCACAGACACCAGATTAATGGAATCATCCCAAGCTTTTCCAAATATTAATCTCATAGAAAACTAGAAGTCCATTATTAAAAGCAATATATATGAGAATGGAACTCTGTATGCAAATTATCGAACATGAATCTGAAACTTGTTCCATGTAATTTTAAAGTCAAGAGTAGAAATGTTAACAGAATCAGTGCTTGAAAGATTGATGAAAGAGTTCATATTAACATAAAATAAATTCACATATATGGAAGACTGTTTTATTTAAATATTTGTTTCTGTGGCCAAAATATATTTGGGATTTATTTATGAATAAAAAATTGTTGTATTTAAGGATTTCTTTGATTGCTTATTATACAAACAAGTTTAATATTTTTAAAACTGTAACTAAAACAAATATATTTATTGCAATTATAAATATATCCTGAAAATTTCACCAACATCAGTTGGATTATAACAACTTTATTGTAAAAACATTTGCCTAATAAAAATCTAACAGTGTATTATTGATTACAAACTACTTCACAAAACTGCATATAATAGCAAACAAAATAAAGCTAACTGAATGCCCGGCATGATTTTTGTATTTTTCAGAAATATGAAGCCATAGAGGTTTGTCAAAAGAGCTTGTTTCATATCGAACTGACAAAATCGGTGGCTGACCCAGAGTTTGGTTTTCGAGTGGAGGCAGAAATTGCAGATCACTATGAACGGGATGATGAACTACAAGTGTATGTTAGTGAAATTAAACCAGGAGGTTTGGCACATAGAAAAGGTAAAATAAATTTTGCTATTATATTCAGTTATTTACAAAACTTTTCAGTAATTTTTTATGATCTTAAACTTTGTGCTTTATGTCAGTGATATTACATAATTGAAGCTAGTTCAATTCTTAAGAGTTATGAATTTCTTTACACCATATTTCTCACAGTTCATTTTTTTTATTTTTCCTTAAATACTTTTACAACACTACAATATTTATAATTCTATAACTTTTAGATTAAAATGAAAGTGTGACATTATTTAATTTTGATATTTAAAGAAACCTACATATCATATACTGGATGACACTAGTAATTACTGCAGACATTAGGGAATGCCATGATTCATCTCTTTTAATGCAGAATATTTTCAGGAATAGGTTTCTGAATCTTGAAAGTAGTTCTTTCAAAAAGTAAAATCTGCAATATATATATATATATATATATATATATATATATATATATATATATATATATATATATATATGAGAGCAGTAAAAATGGACATGTTAAAATGGGTTTTATTGGGGTTTTTTCACTCTCATAATATTTTGTACCCCTGCAATATATAAGTGGACACTGAGATCAACACAGAGTGGCGATAGTCTGTTTCAGGCTTGAATGAAATCGTCATGTGCTTAGTGTTGACTTTTATATTTACAACAACTTTATCCCTGATATTGAGCACTTTTACCCATAAATATAGCATATCTTAAACTATATCTTGTCTTGAACATGTTTTTGGACTCAAGCTCTCCCCAAACCTCAAGTGGAACTCATATATCCAATCTATTGCTAAAGATGCTAGACATGCTTGGTTGATTGTAATATTCTCGTAAAACCCACCATACCACATATACAGAGCAAACTCATCCTCATCCATTGGTCTGAAAGAAATTCCACTCAGACAACTTCTTACCCAGAACTGCTACATTGTGAAACAGGCTCCTTAGAGGATGCTCCCTCAATCACTACCATTTTAAAGGTCAACTGTTATCCATCTTACATATCCTTATAATATGCACTTCTTACTCCCTCTTTATAAGCCCTTATTATTTCAATAACCCTCTACTTTGAATTACTCTCGAGACTTGTATCAGGTGAACAATAGCAAAAAGTAGTATTCTTTTTGTCTTATTTACACTATTTGCATTTGGACTATTGGCTTCATTTTTATTGTTATCACATCGTTTTGACTATTGTGCACTCCAGACCTCATCAGGTGCATATAGTGTTTTTGTTAAATAAAATGATCTTTAAGAATGATAATCAGTTCATTTTAGGAACAAATATGTTGACTTCTTTCTTTACTTTTCCTTCTAACTTTTGCGGCAATTTTTGTTGTATGGTTATAATCATCTTCCTAAGATTTCATTGGAAAGTTAAACTCCTCCTTTATGTTGCTAACATGACATTCCAAAGAATTCATTTTCTAACCTTATTCATATGTATAATCTATAAAATTTCTGGTACCATTCCTCTTTGAGATTTAAAAAAAAAAAATGAAGGATGGGGACTATCTTTTAACACAACTTATACACCCAAAGAGATACACCCAGATCAGTCAGAGCATCTCAAACACAAAGAATTTTCCAAAGAAATCTTGATGTCTTTTCTCAAAGTTATAGCAAATAAGTTATTTCATTTGTTCTTTCCCCACACACAGGTCTTATCCCAGGTGATGAAATTCTCATTATAAATGGTAAGATAGTATCAGAATTGGATATGGTATTTATTGAAACTTTGCTCCATGAATCACATTCATTGTGCATGACAGTTCAGACATGCCGTGTCCAAGTGCCAGCAGTGGTCAACGCCGGAGGGCCGTCAGTTGACAGCAATGATAGCATTATTCAGAACACAATGGGAACACCTCCTCAACCAAGAGACAAAGCTTTTGCAGATTTGCCTGTTGGTTCACCTGGTGAGTAAACTCAATTATCTAAATAGAATTTTGTAATTCTCTTCTATTCTTTAATATCAAGAAAAATTAAATATTTTAGTGATATATATGTATAACATTGAGATTTTAATAGATAATATGGTACAACTTTGAAAAAAATTTAGATAGGGATAGTTGTACTATGGGGTTGTATTATACACAAGGATGTAATTTATTCCTTGTTTTTGGCTTCAGAAACACTGAGTTGTATTATATACAAGAAAATATGCTAATCTTTGAAGCAAGTAATTCTGCTATCAATTTATCATTAAATGAAGGCATATTTATGTGATATATAATTCTACTCTAATATTACTGAAGACAAGAAGAAAACAAGGTGTGATACTAATCAACTTTAATTAACTTCAACAAATTAATTTGAAAATTGTAAACAAGATGATTATCTTGCATATAAGTTACAGTATATCTGAAGTAACTTTGTAGTGAAAATAATTATTATAATCAAATGCAGTAGGAGATTTAATTAAGCCTGTCCTGCCCGAACTCTATGAAAATTAAATTATCTCTTAGAAACCACTTATAAAACTATGCATTTGATATTAAAATTCATTGCTATTAACATTAATGTGTTTGCTTATGGAAAAATGTTTTAGCAGTGTCGAGTTGTTCAGTTATAATATTGAAAAGACAAGGCAGAAATTGCATTAATGTGTAATTATGAAAAGCTTTCTGAGTAAGTTGGTCTTTAAAGAGTTTTATATTGCAACAAATTGTACAGTGCATTTTTTTTTATTAACTACAATCACATGGAATAATCATTTTGCTACTCATGTAAAAGTAAAAACAATCTTAGTTGGCAATAATATAAGTGACTGATGCCTATAAAAAACACATTGTTCATTATTTACACTATGTTGTCATCTTTGTTGTTATCATCAAAACATTTCATCCATTGTTCCCCCGCCCAACCTTCCTTTATATCAATCTGGGCAACATACAGGAAATTCTGAATGGAACTCTTTATTTAATCTATGAGAGTACACTATTCTCATTCCACTGCTCATGTCTATGGATAGAATCTAGTTCTTGTTTAATATTGTTCAGTTATTGCTTGCCCATTTCAACTGAGTGCAAGCACACATTACCCGACCCAGTCACCAAATTCACAGACTAATTCTTTTATCCACTAGGCCATTATCTTCATAACAGAAATTCAGGCATTATTCATTATTCACAGCTAATTTGTTTAAACAATGTACTGACTATTGTTTGCAGCACATGGCAATAAAACTAAAATAAGTAATCAAGTAATCGTTTTAAGTTCTCGGAAAATCAGTACTGTTTTATATTTACTTACTTGTGTACAGAAAAAATAAGTGTAATGAAAACATCAGACAAAAGGTTACTGGTTGAGAAATTTACTATTTGTATGGTTTCCCCAGAAACACTCCAAATATTTGATGTTTTTTAATGACAGTGGCAAGGAGAAAAGCTTCTCAAGAAATATCTTCACCATAGGCAGTTGATATCAATAAAGTTATTTTGGAATTTTTCTTTATCAGAAAAAAATATGTTTTCTTTTTATTTGTGCATAGAATAAATATTATATAAATAAAGGTTCTGATGACTTCTCTTTCGGTACTCAATATTAAAAAAAATAGACCAACAGTAGATAAATAAAAGTTCAAATGATTTAGCTTTTATTTATTAAACATTTGTTAACTACTGTTGCTCTGTTTTATATTATTGAGCTATATTATAGAAGATAAGTCATTTGAACTTTTATTTATCTGTTAACTATTGCTATAATCAATATTATAGATAAACATCAAAATATAACTTTTTAAAACAGAATTGTAGAAAAATTTCTCTATTTGAAATAAATACTGATAAAAACTCTTTTGACAAAAAGAACTGTTTTGGCTTTGCCATGGCAGCTTCAAAATATCCTAGCAGTCAAAACTAAAATATATACTACAGCTTATCTATATATTAATATATCAGTATATATTTTCTTTGGAAATTACTAAGTTGTGCATCTTGCGAAAAAAATAAAAATAAGAATAAAGCTTGATCCACTTTAAAAGATCAAAATAATAAAAGAGTTATACAACCCAAGATGGCAAACCTGTCTGTTCTTTCATCTCCACCTTTTCTTTTGTTTTCTTTCTCACATTCTATTTACCCTCTACCTTTCCTTTTTAACACCTTTCTCCTTTGCTATTCTACCTTGCATTTCCCAAATCCATAATTATGTGGGAATTAACAGATAGTCATTTGATGCCTATATTGCGTGTGTGTAATACTTCACAAAACACACAGATTATACTGGTCCTAGATGAAAATGCTACACTGATTTTAAGCAGAGTGTACAGATATTTTCATCTGAGCCAAAAGTGACATATATAAATAAACCAGTTATTTTTAACAGATACTATTAGAATAGAGCTACTGTCAATGCACTACTCATATGATTAAACTTGTCAAAATATTATCAATCATTTACCTCTATTCTTGTTCAGAGAGGAAATAAAAAATGGTTTATGCTTTTCCTTGACTATATCTTACAAGTGAATTTATGTTGTGGTCTCTTTTTACCTGGCAAAAGAAACTAGTAATAATGAGGAAAGAAAAGTTAGCCAATAAAGAGAAGAATGAACTGACATAGTTTTGTTTTTCTTTTTTTAAAAGTCTGATTCACTTGAGTGCACAACCAACAAACATGCCATTATGAAACAAAGTTTTTGTATTTCTATGGCCAGTTTAAGTTAAAGTAGCAGTTGAAATGACAAGTGACTTATATTTTCTCTTCTCAGGTCGGGACTCAAGACAAGGCACTTTGTCGCCACGAAAATCACCTCTGCCACCAAAGCTATCACCAAAGGAGATTGATGTGCTCTTAAAGGTAGGAATACATATTTTATTTTCTGTCCTTTTTAAAGGATGTCATTTACACTCAAGCAGCAGAAACAACTTATTCAATCAAAAGATGTACAAAGTTTTGTATAAAATAAATGAAATGTTGCTGTTTATATTGATGTCACTATCACATAAATTCAAAGCTAATTGCTCATAAATATATGTACCAAAAGAATTTTTTTAATGATTCCAAATACATAATAAATTTTCTCTTAGAGTGATTTTACAACTATAGCTTATTTTACTACTTTCTGATGATATAATCAGCAAGGTTTAAGGAAACAACAGTGCAATGATTTTAGTCATTTTTGGAAAGACAAAACTAGCTTTCAGTCACAAAGAACTTGTGTAAAATCTAAACTGATCCACTTACAAACCAAGAAATAATTAAAGTAGAAATAATCATTACAAATAATTAAGTTTGATAATGGTTCCTGCAATTTAATGCTCAACATAAAAATCTTCATTTGAACTTTTGTTTGTCTTGTAGAATACTGAGCAAGTGACAGCAATGTGCCAAAATCCCAATGAACCTTACCAGTTTGGAGATGCGCCTTCCAGGCCATTGTCTGAAGCACAGAAGTTAAGGAAGGTCATCATGGAACTCTTGGAAACAGAGCGTGCCTACGTGAAGGTAAAAAAAGACAAAATATCTTTGATGTTCATTTGTGAAATCAGTAACTATATTGAACATTAAATTACAAATCCAAATCTATTTACTTACTTCTCCATACTCTCAATTTAACGGAAATTGCAATCGCTCCTCAGGGGACTTTATAGTAAAATGTCAAGCCTCTGGTTGATAGATACAATTTCCATGAGAAACTAATAGGGACAGATAAGTAAACATTTAATTTCATTTAGTAACTATTAATGATCTCTTGATATTGAGCATTTTAATTACAAAGACTGCTAGCCTTGAAAGTATTATTGTCCGGAAATACCATAGTCAACCAGTTTTCTCTCTCTCTCTCTCTCTCTCTTATATAGTGCGATGTGTAAATTGTCGCTATTTTATATTTTTAATTTCACATATGTGTGTTGTTTGTTTTTGATTTTGTCAACTGCACAGTATAGTAGGGTCAATTGGATACCATTTGTGAGAAAAAAAAGCACCATGATGCAATTCACTCTACCAGGAATTTGGAAATGGCATACTGCACTGTTTGGCATTTCAGAGTCTTTGGGTGTCAATCTGAGGACAGTACAGAGGATTCAGAAAGAGTGGGGTGAGTCTAATGGTGATTACGAAGGTACGACAGTTTGAAAAACTCACTCTGATTATTTTGATAAGAAAAGAACTCCTGAATTTGTTGGTGAAGACCTCAAACTCAACACTGAGGCCTACATCAAGTGATTGAGGAGGTAGTGCTGCCTTGGGTCAAGAAGGTGGCAGCTGGAAGACCCTATTTCTGGCAACAGGACTCTACACCATGTCGCACAAGCAGGAAAACCCAGTCATGGCTGTTAGATAGTTTCTACGACCACATCACAACTTACATCTGGCTACCTAACTTTCCAAACTGCAACCTGCATGATTATTATGTGTGGGGTGCAGTTGAGTAAGAGACCAAGAAACTCTTTATAACACCAAAAATGATCCAAAGTCAAAGATTAAGGCAGCAGTCACCAACTTAAATAAGGAGACTGTCCAGAAGAGATGCAGAAGATTCTGCAGTTATCTGGAAGCCAATGGTGATTTTATTGAATACATTTCCTCTTTAGTATTTCAAGATATTTTTGTGTAATTTGGTTAAAATGAGGTGTAAGTCTTATTTTCATTTTTGTGTAATTTAGATGACAATTTATCCATCGCACCCTGTGTATATATATATATATATATATATATATATATATATATATATATATATATATATATATATTAGTTTTAAGTTATGCTTTATTTATGGGTTAGAGTTATTATAGGGATAGAGTGTGTATAAATATAAAAATGGACACTGTAGTCAACACCTAGCAGTGATAGTCTGTTTTATACTTAAATGAATATATGGGATACCAAGCATATATCCATCTTTGCATATTCAGGTCTATTGTACTTTTTACTACTGTAAATGAAACTTAGATCAAATTAGTTTTGGCAGGTTGTACTTGGTTACAGGTTGCTAGTAGACCAGCTACTGGTAATATATACCTCATTACAACCTGCCATACGAATGGGTGGTTGGCATCTAAACCAGCTCCCCCAACTACCTTTACTGTTGGTGAGGAAGTGGGTATATCACAAAAAAACAAGGCCCGTCAAAGGGCAGAGGAGTTTCTTATAGGAGTTAATGGTCAACATATATTCATTTCAGGTTAGAATGAGGTCTCAAGCCTTGAATGGCAACCTTCCTAGAGATTGCATCTAGATAAAAATACTGTGTACTTGGACTACTGTGAGTGTCCAAGTTGGGCTTCAGGAAGACTTGAAATTAATTAAGTCCATTCCAGGGGATCCCTGTCTTCCTAGGTAGTACATTCTCTTTGGGAGAGGACTGGTTGATGAGGTATCCCAAAAGTACAAAGTTGGCTGGGTTATTTTTGGACTCTTGTCTCATGTATACTTTAAATTCAGCCTTGTGCCATATCTTGTTTAAGAGGGAACATAGATAAATCCAAATTCTCATGGAGTTGTCTGGTAAACTTGTGTTTGTGAAGTAAACACTGGTAGCAGATCATAGTTTAGAAAGTCAAGAATATAGTGTATGAAATCTTTAAGTAGTTAAGCAAATGAGTTGGAACAAGCAATTATTGGATTATAATTCTTAATGTTCAGATTGTTGGTTTTTGTTCATTCATGTAATAAGCATTGTTGGAGCAGATTTCTTACTCTCAAAAGGTGATACTTTGCTGTTAGTACGGCAGTGTGCTAATTCTCTCATGGTTTAATTTCACTGAAAGTAATTTGTCCAATGTTAATTAACTTTTCAATTCTAAAGATTTCAATCTGGGAACATTTCTCTGATAGTTTTTTTAAAAATTTACTGGCAACTCAAAAAGAGATTTACAGTCAGTGAGACAAAGTGCTTTTTTTTTTTTTTTTAAATCATTTCACCCCAAAACTATAACAAATATTCATAGATCAATTTTACCTGTTTTGATTTCTGTAAACATTGTAAAAATGAAAATTGTCATGTTAATGCTTTCAGACATAGTAATTGTTCTGTAGTTACAGTACTGTAAACATCATGTCATTTTCTTGGATTTCTACCAAATTGGAGAGAACTTCTTGATTTTTATAGTAATTTCTGTAAGATGAGTCTAACTGGAACAGATTAGTTACAACTAACAAAGTTTGCCCAGGCAGCTAACAAGCTTGAGATTTATTGCATAAACATACAGCAATTGTGGCACAATGTCGGGATGCAAATGGAACTCTTTGTGCTGTGTCAAATGGTGGGATTGTTGAATGGACAGGAAGACCTGGAATTGCCGTGGATCTTGGATGAAAATTAAGTTGGGCGTTAAAAGGGGCAATGGGTTGAGGCTGGTCAACATTATCTTACACCTAGCTAATCCGATTCATAACCCATTCATTTGTTACAATTTACAAAACCACTACAAAAACTTGTCAGTCATCATTCACTCCTACATATACCACAATACCACATACACAAAGGGAAACCTTCAAAAACATCCCCATAACATAACAATATAAACTCATATATAAAAATATATTGGTGATAAGCAATGAGGTGGGAGGGGATGAACCTGAAACCAAACTAAAATATAACAAAACGCACAAACTTAAAAATAATTGATGTTGGTAAGACCTGTCCAACCCTCAAAAGAAATGAGAGAGAGAGACCGCTGTATTCTGTCTTCAAACAAAATCAAGAGGCTCTCTTACTAAGGGGGAGGGAAAGATAAAATAAATATGGACATGGGAAAAAAAATAACTGACCCAGTCAAAATGAAAAAAAAAGAGGCCAAAAAACAAACTAGGGTGATTGGGAATCTCGGCTTGGATCATAACCAAAGAAGAAGCTGGGAACAGGCCAGGAACAACACATACTCACATTAACTAGGTACACAAGAAGAGTTTATCCTAACCAAGGGAGTGCTCCACAGGAAACCACCCCAATGTGACTTACGGAGACAAAAAAGAAAATCAAGGCTAGCCCCATTCATGCGAACAAGGCTCACTGCAGTCACCCACCTTTCACTAAAATCTGTCAATACCAAACGTTTTCTATCAGATCTGAGCTACATCCTGAGCTGATGCTCAAAGAATCTGACCAGATCGTGATGAGAATAGTGTTCACATCACAAGATTTCCTCCTTCCCTGTCATCCATATCACCATTTGAGCCATGGCTAGCAACTAACAAGCTCACAATTAGATATTTCCCAAGGATTATATTGAGCTAAATGGTTGAGTTCATTTCCACGGCACCGGCTGGTGAGTCAGCAGTCAGAATCATACAACCGAAGGGGAATACAAGGATGGACATTGTCTGGTTAGACCTCGGTAGAGACCTTTTTTGAGGCGATGAACAGCCAATATACATAGAGTTGGATTCAACAACCAATCACTCCGATAGGGCAATAGATCGGGGCGTCCAATGAGCTAACAGGTTTGACAAGCCTCCTGCTGTTTATTGGAATCTACTGAGTTGAAGGAGAGGCACAGTTAATTACAGTACAAAGTTCAAATCACAGCAAAGGCAGTTGGCATTCATTATAACAATTTCAAATTCAGGTTACCCTTATAGAATAAAGTAATTTTTTTAAGAAAATACTTTTTTCCAATAACCTGTTTTCTCGGTGACAATTCCAGACCTGAGAAACTTGATATGGTTAGAACTTTGTAAACTGTACCTAAAAGAATTCCTTTAATGTATTATGTCTGTTCATGTCCTCTGCAACTCTTAGAATTTTTTTTTTCTTTTTACTATCCTTCCTATTCCATATTTCGCAATCCATTTACACAACCTTTCCTCTTTGTCCCTCTTAATTTCAGTGTGTGATGAGAGTGTTAAATTTTCTAGCTCTTCTTTCCTAATTATGTGTCCTAGAGATTTCAACTGTTTCTTTTTGATTTCAAGTGTCCTTTCCGATTCCATTTTCCTTAAAACTTCCTCATTGCTTACATAATCTACAAAATTAATTTTATACAAAAATTTAAGAACTTTTATTCAGTTCTCCTGAGTTTATGATTCCTGCTTGAAAAATGGTCAACAGAAAGAGCAAAATTTTCCTGAGAGAAATTGTTTATACTTTTGGAAAAGAAAAAGGTTTCTATAATAATTGTTTTACATTAAAGTTTGAAACATTGACATCAAATAAAACAGTATTATTCATTGTGCTGATATCTTAAGATGCTGAAGTGGTTTTAATCCTTAACATTTTGTTTCTTTAAATAAATAAAAAAACACATAATCTAACATCAAAGGGGATTGTATAATTTCTTTTGCTAAGAATTCAAAATTCAAACCCATCATTTCTATAATTCATAATCATATCCTTTACGATAAGATTTTATCTGATATGAAAATTTGGTCATATAACAAAGTTTTCATTGTTTATAACTTTCATAAATTTAATTAAAATTAGAGGTCATTACATTGGCATCTATGATTTTATTTAGACTGGTATTCTGTTTTTGTTTTATTAATGTAGCATTTCCTTTCAGTTGGTTGGTAAATTACTTTAATTTTTTATCAAGTATCATCACAATTTCTGTAACCCATTAGGGTCATAGGAGCACCATATGTACTGCAGCAGTGGTGTGGCTCAGGCAAGATAGCACATCCCTCTTAAAGCCGGTTTTGAATTCAAAGTTTTCCTCCTTCTAGATGAAAGAAAGTCAGTCATCCCTGTTATTTAACCCATAGCCGGAGGGAGTGGGATTCATGCTTTAGTGCAAAGTGAATGAAACAGTATCAACTATGATTTGAACTTGGCTCACAGATTTTGTTTTCTGCCACTGATAACTGTTATACTATCAACAGCTTCTACTTACAACTTTATAATTTTGGCATATGAAATAAATATAATTCAGGCATAAAATATCATACCTCACTTTTTAAAAGATTAACATTGATCTATTTTTTGTTTGATTGGTTTGTTATTGCGGCTTAGCTTTTTGCTGGTTATTTAAAGCCAGAAAATATTTTAAATTATAAGAATTATTTTGAGATAATGATTTACTGATACAAGCCCTACTAATTAACCCATAGTGGGGGGAAGAGGTGGATTCATACTTTTCCCGTGGGTATTTACATGTAAACAAATATAACAGACTTCCAAGTCGTCATACATTGCACCACTCTTGACCAAGTGCCAAGGTAGGACTAAATTTTGGTGACTTGCTTTCTTCCGAATTACATCTCACAACAACACTGAAACATATTGAAGTAAACTGGCGTTAAAACATGGCTTCTAAGGCTATATTTTATTTTATTTTTTTGTCTTTGCTTCATATTTCAGGTTTCTTTTTTGTATTACTTTGAATATGGTTATGATGAATTAAATAAAATATGTCATAAATATTTTATGGGTAACTAAAATTCTCCACAAATATCCCTATCAGTTAAGAAGCAGTAATTTAAACATTTTTAAATATTTTATTGCTTTTGTTTTCTTTTTTAGGATCTCAATGTCCTAATCGAACGATATTTAAATCCCCTGAAGGCGGAGACACTCTTGACATCGGATGAGATAATGCAGTTGTTTGGTAACATCCAAGAGATAGTCCAGTTCCAGGAACAGTTTCTCCAAAGTTTAGAGGAAGCTGTAGAGCTCGGGGGTGATTTCTTCACTCTTGATGACCCAAAGAAATTTCGGGTAAGTTTAAGGATGCAATATGAATTGCAACTACAAAATCTCTGGAAGCTTTTTTTTCCTTCTTGTATGTTTCCTGCACTTGGCATGTCTTCTACAGCTGTGTATCATTCGTGCTGATTGTTTGAAAATTGCAGGGATTTGTCTTTTTTTTTTTTCACACTATATATATATATATATATATATATATATATATATATATATATATATATATCTTTTACACACACATAATTTTTCTTTTGATTCTGGCTAATATCTTATTTATTAACCTCTACTTTTTATATTGCTTCTCTTCATGGAGATTCCATTGACGTTTCATAACATCAAAAATAAATTTGATGTTCAAAATTATTATTTTATATAGCTTTTTCTAAGTTTTCTAAGATATTCAAGAACAACACAGATTAAAATACTTCTTGCTCTGTAGCAATGAGAGAGAGAGAGAGAGAGATTTTAGTTTCGACTCACCATTTGGAGTTAATTTTAAAGTTTTTCAGTATATATTTTAAAAATTATTGGATGAAAGTATTTGGAATATGTTGAATTTGAAAAAGTAATTATTAAATATTAATAAATAAAATAAAAATAATTTAAACTTATTCATATAATCAATTTCAGAAAAATTAGAACATTATATACAAAAAGACAAGGATATTTTTTAACTTTAAAAAAAAAAGGTAACTAAGTAAAAAAACAATAACTTTTCAGTTATTCTTCTATATATTAAAGATGCTAGAATCAGTATTTGATTCAGGGAATTATTGTTACTTTCTTTTCTTGTATTTTACTTATTTCTTATTTTGTAATCCGTTATATAAGCAGAATAAAAGTAAGAGATTAATTGTTTGGAATAAAAACGAACATCTGTTAATCTTACTGTTGTTAGAAGTTGTTGTAATGTAAGCAAAGAATTGTGTTGAGATTGGGGAGAAACACCTAACTGATTAATCTCCCAACAATTATAGGTTAATAGGCAGAGAGAGGAAAGAGATGGGAGGTAATAAAAATAACACTGCCTCCGAAGCTACAGCAACTTTAGAAACAAAATACCCATGGGACCGACTTTACAAGACAATGTGTGTTACTGACTGCTATTTTTCCTGTTGCTTTTATTAGCATGAGGCATCTTACAAAGACTCAGATCTTAACCAGTTGCAGAGATGCCTGTATTTAGTCAAGCTGTCCTGATGCTAACAGGGAAAACCCGGATGTAACAAATATGTCCATAGACAATCTGGGACCTGTTTTGCATCAAAACTTGTATTGCTTTCTTTTAACATATATATACATTTTCAAGACAGTGTGAAATGTTGGTTCCTTTTTTTTTTTTTTTTTTTTTTTAAATCACTTCACCCAAGCAAGGTGATAATGCTACTAAGATGCAAAAGGTTACTGGCTATGAAAGAGAATGAGATGACTTTTTAAAGGGAAAGGACAATAAAATAACAGGTTTCAGGAATGCACAAGATGGTGATGGACATTGCATTTAAATCTTTGAAGATTGTAGGTGACAGGGAAGCAAGAAATCAGTAGAGAGTTCCACAGGTGAGAAAAAAAACTATTAGAATAGAACTTATGGTTACATGTAGCTATTTCAAAAGTAAAACAATGGGATCTAATTGCCAATCTAAAAATACAGTTAAATTCCTGTGGTCAAGATACCAAGGAGGTGAGCTCATTAAAACAACAGCCATAAAAATATTTATAGAAACAGCAGAGGGAAGCCACATCACAATAGCAGAGATGTCAGGACTGATAATATTATAAACCACTCCTTGAATTTTGTCGAAAATATCAAAATATGTAGCAGGTGCTCTCAGCCATATATGTCAGTAATATTAAATGCATGGATGAATGATTTATAAATGTGTGAGATTGATTCTGACAAGAAAAAAAAATGTATGACATGACAAAGTGAATCAATTTTCCTAGCAATTGATTCAATTTTTTGTGTTATAAACTAAATAGTGGGTTGTACTATTTTCAAACCAGTGTAGATATACAGTACAATATGACCTGTTTTGTGATGCATTTTTATTATATTGTTTTTGTGTGGAATTGGTTAGCTTATTCTGTACAGAAGAGTATCAATCAAAACCAAAATGTTGGTGCCAATGAAAAATTGCTATCAATGCCTTTAAGTCATTTATTTCCAGCAATTTCCTATTTTTTCCCAAAATAGGCCAGCATAGCCAGGCAACAATGCTATAAAAATGCAGCAGTGAAAGTGTTTAAAATATAAATATTTTGAGTGGGAAGGATACATTTTTAAATAGGAAACTATATGTATAATCATCAGTCAGTGTGAGTCCAAGGTTAGTGAACACATACATAGTGAAAACTGATAAAGATGTAGAAAAATCAATTTATAAAATTACTGGATGGTAATTTTTTTTCAGTTCTAATTTAAATTTAACAATACTGATAAGGTAAAATTCAAAAAACATTTTTAAGTTTTGATTGTATAATTTTAAATGGTTAGATGTATCGATTTAAAATGATTTTTCTCATATTTTGAATGAGAGAAAAATCATTATATAGGTAATGATTTTAAAAAGTAAAAAAAGGAAAAAGAATTCATTAAGTCAAAAGAGTTAAGTCGTTAGTGATAATGACAAATTCAGGATCAATAAAAATGTGTATAAATACAAGAAATCTCTCTCTCTCACTCCTGCTGATCTGTTTTAGCTTATATAACCTAAACAATTCTTCTCCATCTAATTTTATTTAGTATTTCACAGTATTTTGCCATTAGTTGTATTTTCCTTCTGTGAGATTAATTCTTTTCAAGTATTTTTACTTCAAAAGAGTACCCCTTGATCAAGATAAAATATTTTCCAAATTTTATAGAAACTATTACATTCAAAATGGAACTTTGAAAGCAAAGGGAAATAATCAGTTTCTGGTTTTCTCCTAAAATTTCTGTTAAAAATTATTAGATATTTATTCATTCACTATTTTACACCCTACTTGATAAGCAATTCATCTGCCTGCAAAATGTATGTCATGGACACAAAGAATGCATACATCAATAGAACACAATCTAATATTTGATGAATTGTAAGAAAACCAGTAATTTTTATCTGAATTAGACAAGGTGTTTTAATTATTGTATACAGTTTGTTCAGACTTGATTTCCTCATCTTTGATTATGTACCGTCCTCTCACCTTTCTTGAGTATCTGTTGTTTTTTAAAATATTACAGAAAAGAAAGGTGGTGGGGAGAAAGACAAATGATAGGGAAATTAGTCTTAACAAATCACACAATGAAAATCAGTAAAATGTCTGAGGTGTTCTTCTCTAAATAGAAACCATGACCTCTTCATTTAAAAAAAAAAAAAAAATGTATAAAACTGACTATTTACGTTATATTTATAAATGATGGTACAAAATCCCAAACAAAATGAGAAAATGGATTGAAGAAAGCTCAGTTTTTTTTTTTTGTTGCAACACTGATTTTTAGCATTCATTCTTATATTTTGTCTACATTTCTATATTAATGTTTCAATTAGTCATTCTCACATCATCAGAAACAATTTACATTTCTCTTTAATGCCACAGAATCTAACAAAAAAAAGTATCACCATTTTGAAAAGAAAAAATCCATAAGACTTCTGTTTTATATTTTATTTTTTTTCTTTCATTATATCATTGCTTACTGTCACATGAATTTGTGTGTTCTATGTTGCCAAACCTCAACTATACAATGTTCATAGTTTTATTATTTCAATTATTCTTGAAAATAGAATTAGAAAATGACTGAGTTAATAAAATATTGTTCAGCAACAAACATTTTAGAAATTTCCATCTATCCTTGCTAGGTAGAATATAAAGAAGTATTTCCTTGGAAAGTTATAAGTATACATATATAAGTAACAAATGAAAAAGATGTCTTACAACATCTAATTTGCATCCCACCAAATCACACCATGCCACGGTCAGGCTTGGGACCTATAAAGCATACTTTAGAAAATTTCTCTATTACATGCTAAATATTCCAAGATTACAGAAGCAAAAATTGAAATTCAAAATGTTAACTTCTGTAAATTGGAAAAGCTGCCACAGAACATAGTGAAGGAAAGCAAGAAGAAAGGATTAAACATCAGTTGCAAGAAGATGCATGGTTGTTAGCAAAAGGAACAGCCCAACATGCACATTATAAATTGAAGATACTGAAATCAACTGAAGTACAACAATTTAAATATCTAAGGAGTGTTTTAACAAAGGACAGAAAGTGTGACGCTGAAATCTGAAGGCGCATTGGAATAGCAAATGATGACTTCCAAAAGCTAAGCAAAGTATTAAAAAAACAGGAAATTTTTGTTAGAAACAAAGAAAAGAGTACTGAACTGTTATGTAATATCAGTCTTCCTGCATTACAGGAAATGCTTGCTGGAAAATTTCCTCAAAGATGAATCAAACTTGAAACAACAGAAATGTGGTTCTACAGAAGAATGCTGAAGATACCATGGACCAATTATGTGAATAACAATAAAGATTTAGAGACAATGGAAACAAAAAGGACATGTACTTAAAATCAGGAACAGATATTTGAAATTTCTAGGGCTCATAATGAGAAATGAGGTTTTGGAAAATTTGATACTCACAAGATATATTGAAAGCAAAAGAGATTGAGAGGAAAACAACGCATAACCTACCTGGTGAGCTTGAAGAAATGGATGATGATGCAGAGTTTGGGAAATATAGAAAAAAAGACAAAAAATTTTAAGAGCTACCAAGCATAGGAAATTATGCAGAGTCAGGATTGCCAATGTCCTAAAGAGACATGGCACATAGAAGAATTTTACAAAATCACTTAATTTCTTAAGATTTTCAACTTATTGGTTTTACAAGGGGGTGTTGAAAAAGTTCTGTGGCATGAGAAAAATAAAATATCTGATGTTTGATTATTTCATCAGATTTTGCAAAGTGTGTCAAACTGAGAAACTTTCATCTCCTCACCCTGCATATCTCTTTGGAAAGATTACATTTTTTTTAAAAAT